TCCACCACTTCCTGCTGAAAGGACAGCTGCAGCATCAGCTGGAATGGGCAGGGCAGTAAGAGGTACTGTGTAATAGCAGGGTGTGAGCAAGGAAGAGGGTGTTCTGCTTTTATCGACTCTTCCAGTAACAAAATGTTTATCTTATTTAAAAGGCAGTTTTAATGGAGAATGGTTGAGGTATTTCTTAATATTAGAACTTCAGTTAATAATACTCTTTAAAAAGTCAAAAGTTTCTAAATGCTTAAGTCAAGCTATAGTATTCAGGAGGCAGATGCTGTTCCTGAGTGTATAGCAGAAGGTCACACATTGCAAACATCATTTACTGCAATTGAAGTTTTTTGCTTCAGTTGAAGGACTGTAATGGATGCTTTTATGTTGACCTGGAAAAAAATCTCCGTTGAGGTATCTTTCTCTCCTTCTTTGCCTTCCCACCATCCCTATCAAATTTCTGTTCCTTCTACTAGCATTCCTGGATGATTGAGGATAGTATGGGCTGATTTAAGATTTCTTTCCATTCATTTTTCAATGATGTACACTTAGAAGTTTACATAATTCAAAAATCCAACATAGCTGCTTGTGTAGTCCCTGTAAGTCGAGTTGGTGGCCATTTTCGGTAATATATAAGGTAGCGTCTGAGTTTCTCATCAGGTATAAAAGTTGGTCTCCTCTTTGCACGCAATTGTACATTTGCATTATGGTAAAAAGGAAAGAACTATTCAGAGAAAAATGGGAAATGACCGTATTATAGAATACTGCTTCCACTATTCAGCATGATTTTCAGGGACTTTAGACCTCCCCACACAAGGTCAGGGGAGTCAGGGCACGTTATGTGTGGGGAAACCAGTTCTTACATCTTGTATGGGACTCAGGGTCATAAATCAGCTCCTGATGAAAATTTGTAAGAACCTAGTCCCTGAGCTCTGCCCCTTGTCACTGGCAGATAGATACCATGTTCAAACAGTGACCCGTGAAAACAAGGAGTAAGAAGAACAATTTAGCCATCGGTGCACAGCAAATGAGCAGCTTCTTCCCCCCCAGCAAGCAGAGTGTTGTTATTCAAAGCATACACCACGGGGAGAACTCTCTTCTCTGCTGCTGTGCTTTGGGCTGTTGAAGCAGCAAGACACCATCTGATGGGTCTGGTGTTTTTATTTTAATATTCCATGTATTGGGATGCTCTTTTCTTGGGGCTTCTTTTCTTCTTCTTTACTTGGGATTTGCATGTTGAGGAGCTGGGGAACGGGACAACGTGGCCTAGGGGTTACTGTGGAGCCCCAGCAGAGAGCTGGGGCGGAGCTGAAGATGGAGTTTAGGAGGCAGATGTGAAGCCCCTCATGTTCCCCCATGCCTGGCTTCAGCTTTCCCTGCCCCTCTGCTCCACGTCACAGCCTACAGGCGTATGCACCGCTCCCAGTGGGAAAACCATCTCTGTTGCAAGATGCAGCGTTTACATGGAAATAAAGAACCAAAGCAGGGACAACGGCTGGAAAAAAGGAGCAATACCTGGTCATCACATTTCTGTATTTTCTTAGGGTCTTGTTTCTTCCAGCAGTATGCATCCGCCTGCAGCGCAGGTTATCTCTGTTGGATTCAGCTCTTCACTGTTCACTCGGCAGCTGGAGCGAGGGTGCTGCTTTTGGGGAACCCCCTTCTCTCCCTATTTGTCATTCTGCCAAGATGCAGAGTAAGATTTGAAAGCCCTCAAACTGTTCAAAAAAAAAGCCTTGGACCAGTTGGCAGCTAAAGCCAATGAAGGGGAATGTTCCTGATGCTTTCATGTGACTGATGTGATGAGATGCCGTGCAAGCAGTCAGTGCTGGCTGTGCTGAAGAGGGGCCAGGGGGTCAACTTTTAGGAAATAAGGATCTGACTGTTCAATAAACAACTGCACTAAATATTAGCTGAAGTTCACAGAGTCAGTGGAACCACTCACTGTGACTTCAGTAAGCTTGGGGTCAGCCTTCGAGTAGCTAGCTAGTAGATAGGAAATTTGTAATGAGTATTCCAGCCAACCTGTATTGTAGCCTTGAGATCAGAAAAGCAATTTCTATTTAGAAATAGCAGTCAGTAATGATGTACTTAATATTTATCTTGGCAGTAAATCAGAAAGGTACCAAACTGCTGAAGTCCATTAGATTAAATCAAATGTAGAGACATAAAAAGGATCCAGGCAATGCCAGAGAGTTAGAGAATAACACATAAAGCAAGAATTCTTCTAGAGATAATTACCGAATACCACGTCGTTACTAGCAGCAGCACAAATTCATCTGGCTTTGACATTTCTGGGATCGTGTGCGGCGGCGCAGCGTGAACCGTTTGGGATGGGATTGCTGCACACTGGCTGCATGAGTGGAGGGCGACGTTCCCGTGCTTCCTCCCAGTGCAGTGCTGTCGCCTTGGACTTCACATGACTGTGGTTTTCAGTCGGGCGTGCTTTGATGTGCACCACTTTGAGCAGAGCTTTAGTGGCTGGGAAGTTTTATTTACAACCTCTCACAGGGAAATCTCAGTGGGGAGAGCTGCTGGATGGGTAGGGCATGGGGGGAGGGAAAGGCAGGGAACAGCACAGAGGGGAGATGACTTGACAGACAGAGGCTTCCTGGAGACAGAAGTTGAACTTCTGTCCTCTGGTAATGTGGAAGCTGTAGTCTTGTAATATCTGTACATACCTCTCTGGTTCCTTGCAATATAGAGCATTTCTTGGGCATATTTGGGCTATGGCAGTGACTGTATAATGCAGTGCTTTTGCCAAACTGGCAGTGCTGATTAAAGTTACCCTGGGCACAACCCAGCTTCCTACCCTGGTATAACCTTCGGATTCAGAAAAAAACATAAAAAATCTTGTTGAGAACTGTATTTTTATTGCTTAAATAGGCATGTGAGTGCCTGGGAGACTTAACACAATAGGAAATAATTAAAGACAGCCTATGAAACTGGATGCTGTTCAAACGAACATGGAGCAATCCCTTGTTTATTGGCTGAGTCTCTGTGTCTGTTGAGGGATAAAATAGGAGATGTTACTGTGTAGTATTCATAAGCTGTGCCCTCCACATTCCCCGGTTAGAAAAGCATGTAGAGCATGAACGTAACCATGTTTAACTTCACAAAACAAAATATGTGTCTGACTATGCCTCCGTTCATGTAATAATATGGATTTTTTAAAATAAAAAAATTTTATATGTTGTATTCTTAACAACAGCTACATCCTCTGTGATTTGGTGAGTGTGGGACCTCTGTGGTTAAGTTGCTGGTACTAAGGAATGGAGTGATTTACTGTCTGGTTGTCCACTTCGCTGCACACAGAATTTTCTTACAAGTGTGAACTACTGCAAGTGGGTGAAAAACAAATAGGTCTGTTTAGCAGTAACACAAAACGGAGGTCCTGTTATCCTTGGGTTCATTTAGAGCTTGGTTATGTTTCTGTCCCCTTCCAAGGTAGTGCATTTTTTTGGCTGAATTGCAGTTGCTCATGTCAGGACTGGATCTGCCTCGGTACTCAGGGGGAGTTGAACTGAACTTTAAAAATTGAGGACAGCACGTAAAAAGCCATGCTGTGGGGAACGTGGATGCAGTACTGGAAGCTGGAAAGGGGAGGGGTACAGCGCTTCTCCCCACACTCTCCTTAATGATTTTCTTTCGAAAACTTAACTTGGTTGGAACAGATCTGTAACAGGTTCTTACATTAATGATTTTTCCTCCTGTGTTTTCTAAGAGATGTGTTTGGTTCAGTCAGAGTGTGGTACCCCTGACTGTCTCACACATGGGTTTAGAAGCAGGAATATCTTTTTCATCAGGAGCTGGATTTCTCCCAAATGGAGCACCCACCCAAGTGCAGCTGGCTGGGTGGGAGGGAGCAGTTTGCATTTTTAATACCAAAAGTGACACACTGAAAGAAAATTCCTGCCAGTATGTAAGACTTATGAGTCAAGTCCAGATGCTGGGAGGATTTTTTTTTGTCCCGCTGTCCCTTGCACAAACAGAAAGCTTTTGAAAACAGGAACACCTGCAGGTCCTGTTTCGGGATGCAGTCCTTGTTCCTGAACAGAATTATTCTTCTGCTCAAAGCCTATGGATTGTCACGGGATTTTGATGTCTCCCTCTTTCTCAAGCCATTTCCAGTCTTCTCTGGTGTGTTTAAAAATGCTAGCAATTTTCTTTAATGGTCTAATCCTTCTGTTCAGTGCCTGCCCTCTCTGTTAGGAATGCAAGCTAGGCTGGGTGAGGGGTGTACCGTACCTGGGAATTACATGTCCGTCAGGAAGATTCCTCACACGCTCCCGAGTGAAGGAGCATGGGGGTCAGGAATTTAAAAGAAATGAACTATTGAGTTCCTTTGTGTGCTTAGAAGTGATTATGTGGTTTTATTGCATGACTGAAGTGTGTGCTGTTTCTGTTGCTGACAGGGAAGGCCGCTCTAATGCTCACATTAAAGGAGATTACCAAAGAATCGGAGATGTTATGCTGAAGAACATTCAGAGTATGAAGGTAGGAATGATCCTATAACTGTTAAGCTTTGACACAGATTAACATTAGCGTGCTTTTCGTTTTCATATGATGCTGCCTCTTGTGCTGGTTTTTGCCAATTGTCATCAAGGCTTATGCTATGAAAGTTTCCTTTGATGAGCTGTCAAGTGTTTGGTGAGCCCTGAGATTTCAGAATTGCAAGCTGATTTTAAATTGTCCAGCCCCTTTCCTCAGTCCACTCTCCAAACATAGGAACAACAAACACAAAAGTTCAGGGACATTTCATTTCCAGTTCTTTTTTCTTTCAAATAAGAAAGCAAACCATCGGAATTTGTGTGGCTGAAGAGACTGTTCAAACGCCCAGTGTGCCTACTTGTGCATCCGAATATGAATGTTAAGATATCGTAGGAGTAGTGACCATAACCTGAATATTGATTTGATTTGGGAAACTTATATTTGTGCACTATGGTGCCAAGTTAGGTGAAAGGTTTTTGAATAAATGTAAATAATTGCCTTTGATCCCTTTTAAAGCTAAAAGCAAAAATAATGTATGAACTGTAAATCTAGGTGTAACGTTCAGCAGACTTTGCGTCCGTTCTTAGCCTGGCCGGAGTTGCATTTTTGATGCTACTGTGTTGCTGAACAGCGTGGAAGGCAGGCACAGGAGCCTGTGAAAACCCAGCACGGGTGGCTAACACACAGCTCACCCTGTTAACGTGTCTGTGTATCCAGGTGTCGTGGTTTAGCCCGGCGGGTGGCTGAAACAACCACCCAGCCATTCGCTCGCACACACGCTCCCCGAGCGGGATGGGCGAGGGAATCTGGGGGGAAAAAAGGTAGAACGTGTGGATTGAGATAAAGACAGTTTAATAGGACTGCAGAAAAAAAGAATAATAATAATGATAATAATAATAATGCTAAAAGAATATACAGAACAAATGATGCACAGCACAATTATGCTGACCAATGCCCAGTTAGTACCCGAGCCGTGGCCCCTCCCCAGCCGATTCCCCCGTTTGTATACGGAGCACAACACCGTATGGTATGGAATATCCCTGTGGCCAGCCTGGGTCAGCTGTCCTGGCTGTGTCCCCTCCCAGCTCCCCGCGCACCCCCAGCCTCCTCGCTGGCAGGCCGGCACCCGAAGCCCGACCTGCTCGCTGGCAGGCCGGCACCAGACGCCAGACAGTCCCTGCCTGCTTAGCAACAACCCAAAACATGTTATCAACATTATTTTCATCCCAAAGCCAAACCACAGCACTATACCAGCTATCGGGAAGAAAATTAACTCTATCCCAGCCAAAACCAGGACACCAAGTCTGTGTGCGGCAAAATATGGCTACTGCACCTTCAGGACATGGATCTTAAAGTGCTTTCAAAACTATCATAAACCTTTCCTGGGTGATTGCCACTTCGGCATTCTGTGGTTAGTGCATGCAGCAGCCTTGAGTCCTTGCCAGCCTGGAGGAAAGGGCAGTTTAGTCTTTACAGCTCTCCTGAGACATTAGTTAGTACTAGGCTTATCTTTCAGAAGGACAGAGAGTAATGAAGAGAGGTTAAGTGATGTGCAAGTGATTATAGAGCAAATCAGAAAAAGAGAATGCAGAAATCTTGATTTACAGTCCCCAGCAAAGACAGCTTTGTCACCACGAAGGCAACCTTACCCTTTCTGCAGTGTACTTAGCAGGAACTGCTTTTTCCCCTCGAGACACAATTCAGAGGCAGTGGAAAAAACTCAGGGAGGACTTTTCTACCTCCGTCCCTGCTCTCAAGAAGTACGCACCTTTTCACAAACAGTTTTTGCAATCTCAGCTTCTGACAGACTCCGCTTCTGCTCTCAGTACCTTGCAGCATTAAATTGTCTGTCCTTCACTGTCTGCACGTCCTTCTGTGGCACTAGTTTAAAGGCAGCGTACAGTCCTCACTGTGACTTAGACCCGCCAGTGTGCTTTCACCTTCGCCGTCCTCTCTTTCCTGTTAGATTTTGTTCTTGCTTTGAGAACCGCCACCGCTGGTAAGCACAGATATTTGGAGGAAAGAGACAAATCCCAGTTTGACTTGAACTGCACTGAAAACAACAAAGTTAGTTAAGACTCTGTGTATTTATCATGAGAACTGGTAAAAGACCTGAAAACTGACACTCCTTGTTTAATTATCATAAGAAAGAGATTAAGAGCAAGTAATTAATGGACTACCCTCTGTAGTAGTCCAGAGGGTCTGCTCTGTCTTTGCTTGAGTTACAGGCTTGTAAAATGAATATGCAGTGTATGGAGGAAGCAGCCTGGCTGTAGGGAAGATACATTTCTGCTAAGAATGTCACAAATCACAGGGGAGAGGAAGAAGTTGATCAGAAATGTGTCAAAAAGCACAAGCTTTAGATTAAGCCAAACTGTCCTCTGAAGTCCATTCAGCATACATGTTCAGTTTCTTTTTGTCGCTGGTTAATATTCTGCCATGTACTGGGAGACTTCATTTGGCTGGTCAGAGAAGCTCTGCATCCTGAAGATCCAGTTTACCTTTTCCAAAACACAAATGAAGCCCCTGTGTTAATTGTTCAAAATGCCTGGGATCCTGGACCCTAAATGAAGTTACATATTGCACGTAAACCTCATTCACTTGCCGGTGTGTAACTCCCCCGCTGCCAGTGGGATCGTCTTAGAGACTGCCCTAAGGAGAAGAGGACGTAATCCGAGGATGAATAACTCTAACATACCCATTTCTGTCAGACAGCTCCTCTATTTTTTGTGTTTGTTCAGCTTCCCAGGAGATGCAACTTCTCATTAATAATAGAGGAGCAGAAGCTAGAAGTCCAGTTGTCCGCATCGTAGTTCCCCAAAAGCACCTAAGGAAACTAGGGCAACTAAATCCCTTCATCCTCCTAGAAAATCCCATTTTGTTTCCTAGTTGTGCATTTGCATTGTCTAGCTCTCTCTGTTGCACCTACCCTTGCATGAGCTATGTTCATGTCATCTCCGTGCCTTTGGATTTCTCACTGATAGGAGATTTAGTTTTGTTTACTCATGTACTCTTGTTTCACAGGGAATGCAGAGGGGGCGGGAGGATGCACTTCAAATGAGACATGCCGTTTCTCCTTGTCAAGTGACTATCAGAACCATTGTGTTGCTTAGTGATTTTGTTTGCAAAATCTCAACTGCTGTGCTAGTTTGATGTTTTTTATTGGAATAGGTTTGGGCTGAGTCATGTCTCATGGGGATTGCTAATAGCTCTACCACATGCTCTTTTCTTTGTGCATGTAAGCAACTGACAATTCACCTGTGGAAGCACGATGAGATTTTAATGGAATTGGAGAATGGAATCAAGAATTCACGCAAGCTGGAGACCTTCTGCAGGGATTTTGAGCTACAGAAAGTCTGCTACTTGCCTCTCAATACCTTCCTTCTCAGACCTTTACACAGGCTTATGCACTACAAGCAGATAATGGAGAGGCTTTGCAAACACTACCCACCAAGCCACGTAGACTTCAGGGATTCAAGAGGTAAGTAAGAGAAAAGACACCAATTCCTGGAGCTGGGGAATGACATCCAAATCTATTAGAGGTGCATGGCTGGACAAAAAAAAAAAAAAATCTTTTTTTTTAAGCCTACACGGAAGGAGGATTGAGTTGCAAAACGTAGCACTCAGAAGACCAGAAATGGTAGGATTAAGGTTGTTCTTGTATACACATTATGCCACAGTCTAGACAAGTACTTGGAAGAGAAATCTGCTGGGGGTTATTAAACACACAGAAATGACAAGCAGTTCAGGAAGTCACTTGAACTGAAAACAGTTGGGAGGTTGGGAACATACCATATGTGTTTGTCTTGTTCCCAGCTTTCCCTGGAGATCCACTAGGAACACAGAATATTGAGCCAGGTGAACCTTTGGTCTGACCTAGTATGGCTGCTGTTATTATGTCTTTAAGTGTTATTTGTCTTTTTTACAGACATAGCGTTTGCTCTATTACCATTTCCATGATTTGTTTCAGTAACTCAAAGCTGCCAACATGTTTTTTTTTTCTAAATGTGAAGAAATTTTCCTCATGTAGTTTGAACTCACTGCTTGCTATTTCTTTTTGATGATTTGTTTTCCTCCTTTCTTACCTTGTCCCCCACCCCTGTTGTAAGCTATCTACATTTAAAGATAACTATGTTATCTATACAGTTAGCACTCAGTGCAGATCTACAGAAGGACTTGGGCAGGGAGGATGGCTTGGCATGACTGTTCCCAGCTGTAAGGTCTTAGCTGAGTTAGCTGGCTAAGTTCCCTTAGATGTTGTGCCATGAAAGCCACAGCAGGCAACGCACAAAACACAGACGTAACTTGACCTGTAGCAATAGGAAATGCCACAGAGGTCTGTGGCACTGAAGTGCTGCATGACACAGATTTTTGCCTACATGTAGCTGCTACCTGAATGATCTCAAGGAATGCAGCGAGTAGTGCCTTCATTTCTCTTAGCCAGGGCTAGATGATGAGGTTGATGTGTCCATTCCCATCTCCCCAGAGAGTGCAGTAGCTGTCAAGGTTTGATTCCTGTTCCACTTTTGAAATGGATATGAGGTGGTGAAATGATTTGCAGCCTAGTTCCCCGAGCTGACGTACTGCGTTGTTGGCACAGCAAAAAGACAAGACATGGGAAGCAGATCGGCAGCAGCCTACGCTTAATTTGGCTTCTGCTGCTGCAGAGTGGGACTTTGTAGTGTCTGCTTCCTCTTACATTCCACCTGATCCTTCTTCACACAGCAAAAATCCCCTTTGACAATGGAGATTTTCCTTAGGAAAACCACTCCCAGGTATTAGGTCACTCACTGTTGGCAGTCTCTTTGGAGAGAATGAAGTAGAGCTATGATGCAACTCAGCAACGTGTAGCCCTTTTAGTTGTTCTCATTATGGGGACTGAGGACAAACCTCAAGATTACTGGGTTTACCATCTGAGATGATACAATAAGTGATGCTTCTATTTCCTGGTGTTTTCAAATAGCGACTTGACGCTGTGTGGTGCAGACTGTGGAAAAAATGCATTTTTTTCAAGCATAGAGAAGATCCCTAGATTAACTGGAGAGGTAGGAAATCAAATCCTTTAGGAGAATCTATTCATAGGTGCTCTGAATTAACTCAAATATTCCTACAAAGTTCCTGTGACTAAAACAGAGCAAACTTTTGGTTGAAGAAACAGACTGTCCCTTCATTACAACACTCCACCCTCTCCCCTCCACTCCATAAGACGATGTTTAGAGTTTGTGCAGTTTTTAGTCTGCCTGAGTAGCTTTAGCCTGTGAAGAAGGAGGGTGACACAAGAAGGGTGCTGTTCATGAGCTGGGTGCTGCAGACAAAAGCCATCTTTCTTTTTGAACATTCTTGAAAATCTTTAGTAAGTATTTTATGGTTTTGTCCATCTAGCTGCTCTGGCTGAGATTTCTGAAATGGTGGCTCAGCTCCATGGCAATATGATAAAGATGGAGAACTTCCAGAAGCTGCATGAACTCAAGAAAGACTTGATAGGCATAGACAATCTGGTGATCCCAGGAAGGGTAAGTAGCAGAATTGTGATCAAGGTCTGATACAATTTTAAAGCATTAGATATGGTTTAGAAACCTGTTTATTAGCAGCAGCTGTGAAATTGCCTTTCCTCACATGAACCTTTTTCTCTCACCAAAAACTATCGAATGTAAACATAATAATACCGTAGAAAACAGCAGCCTTTAAAGCGGGAAGAAGCAATCATCTTAATTACCTTTTTACTGATTTTATTAGGTTTATCTTATGTATAGATTTGGACAGTTGTAGGCAATTCCAAATATTATTACAACGGAGGTGTAAAAATGTAATATATGTCGCAGGATTCAGAGCTTGAGCAGTTGCACATTTCCTCATTTCTTGCTGCCCTTAATTTTTTTTTTTTCCCCAACCCTTGATGCTAGAGCATGGCAGATTCAAATAAATGTTGGTGCTGGAGGACCTTCAGCCCTTTCACGATGCCTAGCTTTGAAACTTACGGCCCTGGGGCCGAACAGTCTCTTTAGTCTACGTGTAACATTAGCCAATAATTTTTGAGACAGTTTTGCCTTAAGTAAACACTTTTAATTGTGTTATAAAAATACCAGCATCTCTCTCTTTGTTTCTTGTCATGCTTTTTCAAAAAATGGAGGCTTATTTCAGAATAAATGAGCTTCAGTATAGTATGTGTAGCCTTTTTTACTTTTCTCTGTGCATGTATCTGTGCATGCAAACTTGGGAGTTGTCTGTTGTTGAAGTAACTTTCTCCCCACTCTCCTGACTTTCATGTGTAATACACAAAAAAAGTACTTGTGGCAACTGAAATGCCAAGGAAAATGCATCGCTAGGCTGTTCTCATCCCCTCTGCATTTCTGGGAAAGAGCTTGGAAAACAAAGATGAGTTTTGCATTGAACTGCAAATAAGGCAGCACTTGAACTTGCCCTGCAAGCCTGGCCATCCAGCCCTGGCGCACTCCTGCAGGCTGGCCGGACCACCGCTCAGCGAGAGCCACAGCCTGGGGACTGCTTGCCGTGCCGTGTCCGTGTCTGCTGCCACAGCCGGGTCATGGCAGAGAGTCGGCTTGCTGAGCTCTCTGGGATCCTTCATCCGAATCCTTCATTTAAGGATTCAAACGTTTTGAAGAAGGGGTTGGAAGCTGATGTGCCCTTGGAAGACGGCGCCGAGCGTGCGTATTTCTCAATTGGTGGCTGTTCCCCACTCCCTCACTTTGCCTCTTCCCTGTCTCCCAAGCTGCCGCCACGGCTCGTGCCTCCTTCCAGTGATCCACAGACTGTTCACTTCCTTGGCAAGCCCCGCAGGACATTTCACAGCCTGTGCATCTGTCTATCACATGAAATTAAATGCTGTCATCGGTTGTTTCTGCTACCCTATTTAAAGACAGAGCAGTCTTCCGCTTCTAGGAAGTTCAAGAAAAAGGCGGAGGAGGCGCAGAGGTTGTTCGCCTGCCAAGGCAAAAAGCATTGGCCACCATGCTCTGGCACGTGCCCAAGATGTCGCTGCTTTCCAGCCTTTTGGCCGCTCTTCTGGCTCCAGCTGAAGTCCCTGCCCCAGTGCTGGCCAGGCTGGGAAGCAAATGCCGCATTCAGCCGTGGCTGGGCTACCCAAAGGTTGCTGAGCTCCATGACTCAGAGGAGAAGTCTCATGTTAGGCTGGTGATTCAGCTGTCCCAAAGGCACCTTGTAGGTAACCATGCTGTTCACATTGCCCCAGACTGGGGTCTCTGCTGCCACCGAGCTGGTTCCTATACTGGACATTAAAACATCCCATGGTTGGTTGTGTTTGCAGACTGCAGTGACCTGCAGCTCTTTGCCGTGGTGGTGCTAAGCCACCATTGCGATTGCAATGGTCACCGTGCTAGTGACCATTAGGTGGTACCTTATAAATAGTAATTATGATCAATATTTTGTGGTGGTCGACAACAGCTTCTGGTGGCCTCTCTGGTAACATGAGCTTACTGCGATATAGGGATAACCACCTCTAGCCTTTTTCTGCTCCTTAGCCCTTACGCAATGCAGGTAGGGGACTGGACGTATCACAGCAACCCTAAGGTGACTGGAGTGTCTCTCTGAACAGATTAATCTTCGACAGCCAGTTTATTGCTAAGCTGCAGGTGATTCTGATGCTTTATGTGCCTTTTACATGCACAATTATGAGTAGAATGACCTTTGAAAGACTGTAATAAATAAATATACACCTCTTGGCAGAAGCTGGAGGGAGTGACTGAAAAATGATACTTTCATGGGTTTCAGATAAGTGGAAGGGTGAGTACAGTTCACAGTAAGCGTAGGAAATCCAGCATTTTGAAAGTTTCAGACGTGCTACTTGGCCTGTAATTCCATCCCTGAACATTCTTAAATGGTTTGATCTGAATTAATGTAATGTACTGTATTACACAACATGGATGGGACTATAGTAACTCACACTGCCAGACAAATTTCCTGCTGCTTCTGCTGCTGATGGTGATGTTGACTTGTGGTAGCTGATTTTACATGTCAGTGAAGAGCTGTGTATGCCATATGCACAACAGAAGCTTACCAATGGCTAACCAGTAACATACAGGCCAACTTATCGTTAGTTTTTACATCATCTGTCATGTGAAAAATACTCATTCAAAACTGATGAAAGAGGGAGCTGTCTGAAGGAATCAATGTTAGGTAAAGAAAGTTTTGCCCAGTTGAATTTTCTTAAAAATGAATGAAAGACTATGAAGGAGTTTATCCTAAAGACAGTTATGAATTGAAATAAATTATCCTGTAAATAAGACTTTTAACATATTTATTAGAGAAAATAAAAAGTCATGGTGACTGATAGTCAAGTAGTCATATTTATGTTTGCATAATAAAATATCCTCATCATTTTTGCAGAAGATACAAATTTGTTTTGTATTTATTTCCCACAGGAGTTCATTAGACTGGGCAGTCTAAGTAAGCTGTCTGGAAAAGGTTTACAGCAACGGATGTTTTTCCTGGTAAGCAAGAAGAGATTTTTTCTTTATATATATTGGCAACTGTTAGGCAAACTGTTAGACTCGAATTGTCAATTAAAGTATTTTTAAACAGCCTTATTTAACATAATATGTCACCTATGTAGCTGGTTGTTAAGATATTAATGCTTCTGTCCAAATCCAATGTTCTGTTTGTAACTGCTTCTTAGAAAGATAGAACTATTTACTTTCATATGACACTGTGAATATCGTGATGAAGTAATACCTCCTGGCACATTGTCCTAAATAAAAGCAGAGTCATAATAAAATGAGAAGTGGCACCAGGGTTAGCGATCACGTCCAGAAAAGAAGATAGAGTAACTCCTGGTTGATATGAATGATAATCCACATAATGCTCTTGGGACACATTACAGAACTAAGTTTCTCCACAAACCATCCAGCTTCAGCCCATGAGTGCCCAGTGTGCTGAGGGATCTGCCTTTACCTTCAGATACTTTTGGAGCTCTTGCCCTAGCAAAGATTATCTCCTCCCACCATCACTCACAGCATTTTCAGGTTACGGTGATCTCACTCGGTCTCCAATCCACAAGAGCCGACCCGATGGTTCCTCTTCTCTACTCTTCCTGGCCAGCTGAATTGCTCCCAGGCCCCTCATCCTGCTGCTGCTCAGCCCTTGGTGCTGGGGCACTGGGGTGCCCAACAGATTTTATAGTCCAGTGTCACAGGGCAAAACATTAAAGAATCAGTGCAGCATGGCAGGAAAATATTTGCTTGGCTTCTTGTATGCAAAACATGAAGACAATGGGTGTGTAGAAAAGCTTGTTGAGTGTTTTATGAGATGTTTGAAAATTAATCTTTCAAATGAGCCCAAAGATATAACCACTAAATCTACCCGAGTAGGATTATCCTCTGCCTTTAAAGGCATTAAAGAGGAAGCCTAAAGGATATGGCACATATTTTCTTGCATATCACATTCTTGTTACGAGCTGATGCATCAGCATTATACTTGTATAAAACTTTTAAAAAATTGAGCCTAGATTCTTAAGTCAGTCTTAGTTTTTATCGCTTGCTCGCACTGTCAAAGAAGTCTTTGGTCTGTCTCGAGGACCATAATGGTTTTGGAGTTAAAATCCCATGTCAGTATTCTGAGACTCTGAATACATGTGGAATATTTGGCAAAATTAAATCCCCCTCTAGCGGCCAGTCCACATAGCTTCATGAATTATTGCTGTTGGGTTATAGATGTCTTTGGAAGAGCTCTGTTTCACACCACAGAGTATGATTTTTCTTGATGCAACTGTCTGGTTTGAGAAAAACATCCTTTGACCCAGGTGGCACAGTGAAAATACGCCATTTGTATTATGGCAACAAAATGCAGGTGATTATTTGACATGCTTTTGGCAACTGCTGTTACATGCAAGAAGCTCCACAAATTGAGGTATTTGGTCTCTTCACCTTGAGGTTTCTAACCTAAAGCCACCTACCTTAGACCAGGTCTCACAGCTTCCTTCTGAATATGTGGAATAATAAACAACCTCTTACTTCGTAAGAGTTGAGTTGGGCACGCCTCTCTGGGGCATGCTTGCTCATTTTTCCACACAAATCAGAAGAAAATACTGGTAAAACACACTTAACCTTTCATAGCTTCCAAGTGCAGCGGAGCGTGAAACGCGCTACTTCGTTTCACTGCTGTTGTGGCTTGTTAGTTCTGACCCAGAGATCACAAAGGGAATATTAGAAGGCATCAGAAGATATCCAATGGAAAATTGTGGGAACGTGCCTAAGACTAGCTGGGAAGGAGGGCAGGGAAAGTAACAGGCGCTAATACTGGGTACTGGAATATTGTGGAAGCCAGTATTTTGGATTCATGCATGGGGACTGCCATATAAATAGTCAGCCAGCACTGGCTAACCTTCCTGTATTTAGCATTCTGATTTTTTTTTTCCTACATATGTACATGCCGACATCATTCTAGTAATGCTTATTCTTGCTTTTTAGTTTAACGATATTTTGTTGTACACAAGTAGAGGCCTGACGGTATCAAATCAGTTTAAAGTCCACGGGCATCTTCCGCTGTATGGCATGACAGTAAGTATTGCGAGAACTGAAGGGATTCATGCTTAAATGGCCATTTGTGGTCCCATCTTAATTGCTTGACTAGTTTCTGCTGGATCGAAAGCGGCAGCAGAACACTCTTCTCTGATTCAGAGAAGTTGTGGTTACATTCTGCAGTGCCCGACGAGGCTGGGTTGGCTTCGGCATGTGTTCATGCAGCCTTCTACGCAAAGGTCATTATATAGTAAAAGGGGGAGAGAAGTGATATTTTGGGGGAAGCTTCCTCATAATGCAACCTTCTCATGAGATGGGTTCTTCGTTTTTCTAAACTATGACTTTAACCATGATTCTTACAAGTAATTCATCACCAATTGCTTATAGACACACTGTGCAAGGCAAGTAATCGGTAGTGACCATATCATTTCTATAAAAAAACATTCCTAATCTTTTCAGCGCTGTATCTTAAAGCCAAAGCAGTGGGAAACTGGCAGCAATGTGTCATTTGTAGAGCTTGTTGCCATTTTTCTGGAAAACACCCAATTCGAGCCAATAGCACATAGTTACCTCTTTTTCTTACATGATTTCAAAAATATTTTTGCTAGTTTCAAAACACTTTCATTCCCGCCATTATTTGCATTGGAACTTCTCATGTGTTTGTATCTATCCCGTACTGGTTTCCTGAGGATTGAGTTAAGTAATCACTACCACAGTAACTGAATTTCACCTGCAAGGCTTCAAGTTTTATCTAATGTTTCTAGGAATCTACTTAATTATTGATGTCTGTTTGGCATGGACTTGTTCGTAACAGAACTGTGTTATGCTGCGGTGTCCAGAGCACTCCCAGCCTTTAAGATGGGCTTTGGTATGACAAATCAGTCTTCTGATAAAAATACCATTATTTTCCTTTTTTTTTTTTGTGATATAAAGCAGAAGAAAACATGCTTTTGGTTTAAAAGGCTATTGCAGAACTTCATATTTTTCCAACTTGCAAGCCACCATTCTTTTTCTCAATGTTTTCTCAAGCTCGCAATGTTGTTTGTGAACATTTCTCTTACTTTTCTTTTCCCCAATGATAAGAGCTTGTTCAGTTCACTGTTTCACCTTAAGAAATATGTACTTCCTGCAATCTGAGTGCATTTGGGCTTTTATCTCTCAGATAGAAGAAAGTGAAGAGGAATGGGGAGTTCCTCATTGTCTAACGCTACGAGGTCAACACCAGTCCATCGTTGTTGCTGCAAGGTAATTCAGTGGAGACAACATGCACACATGTAAACTGTATTTCTCTGCAGCTTTCACAGTGGGACAGATGGAAAAGCAGGGAGGCATCATTTTGTTTGGATTTGCTCAATAAGGTAAATGGTAAAAAATAGAGCGGCAATCATGCAAGTCAGAACCAAAACTAAGTTATTAGGAAAAAACCCTAGCATCTTCTGTCTGAATTTATGTCTTTAAACTAAAAGTAAGCTCAGCTTGTGAGTATTTCTAAGAGTTTGCTTTCAGCCTGTATGAAAGTGAATAAACCCTGAATTTTCATTGTTAGTACCCGTGCTGAAATGGACAAATGGACTGAGGACATTCAGATGGCAATAGACCTGGCAGAGAAAAGCAGTGGCCCTGCCCCAGAGTTACTGGCTAGCAGCCCACCTGACAATAGTAAGTAAATGCTAGAGAGTAGGTTTTATTCACTCGGGCCAGTATGACTGGTGATTGCTGCTAAGCAAAGTGGTGAAAAATGCTGGCCACAGATCAAACTGATAGATTTTAAGTTGTTTTTTTTTAATATGTATGTGTAGATATATATACACACCCTTGTATATTTATATATGTGCCATTTTAATATTCTTGTTGATGTTACCAGAAAGTTTCACTGAATAGAGAAGTGACTTAAACATAACGATTCCAGGAACTTTTTAACAAGGTTTGGGCAGTACCTGTCCTTGGAAGGTACTAAAAGCACCAACAAAGCACGGTAGTTAGTCTTTGATTCTAACACTTGCAGAAACACATTTTTAAAAAAAAAAAATCTAACATCTGCACAAAATTATTTCTAAAGGTGTGTTTTAAAATTAGTTCACAACATTGTGGACAGAATTGACTTGTTTAATTTTTCCAATTATATATGTTGTTGCATAGAGGAAGAAAGATGCTTTTTCCCTGCATTTCATAGAGTCTCCTGATGAAACTACTGTAGACCAGGAATCTGAGGACGACCTCAGTGCATCCCGCACCTCACTCGAACGTCAGTCACCACACCGTGGCAACACTACGGTGCACGTCTGCTGGCACAGAAATACCAGTGTTTCAATGATCGACTTTAGTATTGCTGTGGAGGTATCTGCCTCAGAACGATCTGAACTGCAGCTCCAGACTCGCTCTTGAATGACAATTTCCTTTTTGCTCCTCCTTAACAAGTGCACTGTTCCGTTGCCTCCTTCTGGGGAAGTTTCAGGCACACCTATTAAACTGACTCCCGTGTCCTCAAATGATGGCATGAACCATCATTCAAGAAACACGTATCCACTCCCTTAGTGCATCTTTGTAAAATCAGTTAGAGCAGTAATTTTCATAGAAGTACCTGCCCAAAAAAATGCTGATGCCCTCTAAAATTTAAAGCAGGTCAAACTGTCTTAATGCTTTCAGTTACAGAGGCATTAAGTCATTGCTCGAGCTGAAAGGATATTGTCTTTAGCTGCTGCAGCCAGAGTTTTAATTACATGTATTACTAACGTACTTTCTTTACCTAGCCATCTTTTCTGGAACCTTGTGTCATTGCTCAGTCTCATCTGCTTTTTCTTTATTTGCGTTTTCCACCTCAAAATAAAAATCCTTTTTCCCCCCCAGATCACAGCTAAGCCAATTTGATACACATTCGTTAATTCTGTACTCGACAGACCAGATGCAGACGTTGACTTTTCAAAGATTAAAATGAAAGACTCCTAGTTCAGTGTAGGTTTTAGGATGAGTTGGTAAGCCTGCTTAGCTGTTCTTCCTTCACCCAAGAGAGGCTCCAGGGAGCTCCGAGTACTTTGTCACTGTTCTCATCAAATGGAAATTTATGCTCAATGAAAATGGTAAAAGGAATCTGAAAAGTGGGTCGACTTGCACTCACGCGGCAGCCCTCAGACAGCAGGCTACCGTTGCTCTAGAGGAGACGCACTGATGCAGAGCGTAGAGCTGCAAGGACAGACCGTATTGATAGTTTGTGTAACCGCCTCTGTTTTTAAACAGAAGGCACGCTGGTTGCTGAAATATGGCAAAGGAAATTATTCCATACTAGAAAACGCTGACTGTAGAGCCCCATTTCGATCCCATGCAGGTGGGTTTTCTGCTCTTTATACCCTTATGTCCTGCAAGGGAGGAATAGTTCAGCACGGAAAAAGGTCTCATATTTTTCCCTAAAGCAGAGGACTTCTTATAAATAGATATAAAATTTAAACCAGTGACTAACTCTAACAATTAAAAAATGTAGTTGGGCAAAACTTTTTGTCTGAGATCAGTGCTCATTGTTCCTTATTTTTGTTCCTCCCCGTGCCTCAAATGAATGCAAACAAAGCAGCGAAGACCAGACACACCCTGGAGACATACGTTGTTCTGTGAAAACATCTTCAGCTCCACTGCTGTTCCATGCGTGGCAGGTTACGCTCATGCTCACATCATTCTGTTGGCGGCCCTCACTTCAGCATTATCGTTTATTTTCTTTGTGTCTCTCCCTCCTTTCTGTCTCTCTCGTGGTAGAAGATCCTCTCTCTGTCAGTGACTGTACTTCCCTACCTGCTGGACTGATCAGTGATCAGCGGCCCGTTTCCATTTCATATGTCTGCTGGTACCGAATGCAAAGCCTGTCCTTTTATGATATCCTCCAGAGTAATGAGGTAACAGAAAATTAAGGAGTACACCTGTAACTTAGGGCAAGAAGGCAGCAGTCCAGATATCAGAGAATGGGATGATGTAAAGCAAAGGCTTTAATGTATAACCAAGACTGGTGAAAACAGAACTTTTTCAAGAATATTACATTTCTAGTAGATACATCAGGACCACCAGACTTTGACTATAAAGCCTTACAGATTGAGTAGTTTCTGGATTATATAATGAGAATGATGTAAACAGCTATTTTGATTCAGGTGAGAAGCCCTTACAGTCAACAAGGAATGGGAAGTAATTAATAATTCACTGAGAACTGCCCTTCATTTGCAAGGCACAACGATGCTGGACTTTGCTTTTCAATAGTGAAGATGTAGTTTCTTCAGCCAGACATTAAATACTTGTACTTGGTTACGGCTTCCTCCTCCTTTTTGTTAAAACATCCAAAATCCAGCCAGTAAGGTTAACAGCCCTTGCTTTTGAAATCTTTGAAAAGTTACCATGTGAACTCACTGGGTGCTGAGAGCTCAATCTCTATCTGCAATTCTAAACTACGTCATAATTTTCCTTTACATCATGAATTCATGTCAGACTTTCTGTTTCCATTATTCTATTTAAGTATCATTTGAAAAGAACCAAGGCAGACTAGGATAACAAGACTGATGTTTAGTAATATATTACTGAAAGCCACTTCAACTGAATAAAAAAACCCAAAACAGTAAGTGTTTTAGCTTGAAGTTTTTGGAAGTACCCAGCTACAGACAAAAAGATGGGTTACGCTAAGGACGACTTAGTGGTAGAAAGACTAGTAGAAAGCAGAAGAAAAATACATCCATTCAGCAAAAACATACTCACATACAGCAAGGTCACGTACAACCAGATAAAAGCAGATAATTTTTCTTAGGATAATTAAACTGCAGGTACCTTTCGCTGTTTTATTGGGCTACTTTTGATCTGTTTCAGAACCAACTGTCTGGAAATCTCCTAAGAAAATTCAAAAACAGCAACGGGTGGCAGAAGCTTTGGGTGGTGTTCACCAACTTCTGCATGTTCTTCTATAAATCGCATCAGGTAACAGACTGCACAAGTGTGTGGGGCTGGAGAAGACCTTTTGTTTTTTTCAAAGCAGTAGCAGAGGGAAAAGCAGACGTCAGTCACGGACGCTGTGGGTGAGAGAAGGAGGTGCACTGGCCACGGCTACGCAGCCTGCGCCACTGCTGGAACACGGAGCGGAGCCCGTTCGCATCCGCTCGCCTGTCAGTTGAAGAACACGTGCTTGTTTCCTGAAACTTTCAACAGTCACAATACGTACCGTCCCTAAAAGTGCAACAGATATTTACTTCTGCTTAGAAATCGTGGTGCGAGTTTTAACAAGAGTTTCCTCTTGTACAAATCCTGAGATTATTACAATTTAAAACTTAATGCTGACTTAGAAACTTCATTTACCATCACTAACGCTTAAGTAAGTCAGTCAAGTCAAACAAGAGAGAGCAGTGGCCAATGATTAATCTGTCTGAGCAACCACCCCGCTGCAGAAATAGGGTTTTCCTGTCTAGAATCTGTCAGACTTTTGAATCTCTGTGTTCGAGCAGGACGTAAGCACAAAATAATTCCAATTGCTACGTTGTCCTTTCTTTGCTATAGAAATCCTTAACGATAGAGTTTCTGCACTAAAAAAAAATAAAAGGAAGAGAATGAATTGTAGGATATTCTGCAGGATAAAGAAATTATTTGTCCTTACATGCTGTGCCATGAAGTGAAAGGACTTGGGCAATGAATGCTGCAGGGTGACGGGTACCTTTCTAAAGGAGTAGGTGTCTGCAGGCCTGGGGTGAACGGGCATGGTGCTCTGCCGATGCCAAGCGATGGCGCTTTATGCTCGTCAGCGTGAAAGTAGTGAAAGTCCAAGATGGCAGACAGCTTGCTTATGAGGAAATACTGGTAGGATCAGCCTGCAGCAGGTCCTTGACGAGAAGGATCCATAAAGATGGGCAAGCTGAAACTAACAGACACTTGAGTCCCTTGCCGTTGTCTAAAGCTTTCCACGCGCATGTGGAAACACGATGATGACCTTTAAATGAGTGTGTCTCTTATCTTCCATTTTACTTATGTGCTGTCTTTACTTAAAAGGCATTTGATCTCACAGCATTTTCCATCATTTCTTTTCAGGACAATCATCCTTTAGCCAGCCTTCCTTTATTGGGATATTCACTTACCATTCCTTCTGAATCTGAAAACATTCACAAAGATTATGTGTTCAAGCTACATTTCAAATCCCACGTGTACTACTTCAGGGCTGAAAGCGAATACACATTTGAAAGGTAAGTTAAGTTGGTCTTCTGTGAGAGGGAATTTCGTAAAAATTTTTTCCAAACAAGGATGGCGGATGCGAAGTTTAGTGAATTGATTCAGTTAATACAGTCAAGTAGTTCAGCACAACTAGAGAAAGAAGCCTTTAACATTTTAAAAGATATTTTAAACCTGATAATGCTAGAACCAAGTGGTTGGTTTTGATAACACGGGAGGTGTAACAGTAATCACTGCAAGTCCTGCGTTATGTGCAGGAGGTATCCAGTCCAAATTGATCAGGCAGGCTGCACGGGGAGCTCTATTTCTGACTGCACGCAGCGTGTAAACAAATCACAGGACTTTTCAGTAGCTCTTCAGAATAACTTCACTCCCTCTAGTACAACTCGATGGAAAATCCACACCTGAAATGAAAGCCTAATTTTTCACAGTGGCAGCTGTTCTTACTGTGTATTTCTGCCACTTCATGTAATTTTTACACCTGCCCCTGAATTTCAGATACATGGAGAGCCAGGAAACAGGCACTACTCTTCCTAAATTGTGGTTTCTGGTTGTTCATACTAGGACCTAAGCTAATTCTTTTATATGAAGCATTAATGTGTCAAAAAACTTAATGTCCCCTCATACTGAAGAAAGCTATTGTTAAGTTTTAGCCATGTCAGTCTAAAACAATAAATAAGGCAAACTGTGGGAAAGAGATGATTAAATAAATGAGTAGAATAGGAAAAAAACACAAAAGCCCTTTCTCAGTTCTAGGAAAAAGAAGTAGGAACTGCAGCTAAATTACATTTTCTCACTCCAGAATTGAGTGGTTGGTCTCAACTGCTCATCACTTGGACCATCCAGAAAAAAATAAAGCGATTTGGTGTCTGCAGAACAAATAAAAGCAATACTAAGTTCAAGGATTTGGGGTCCCATCCCCTCTGTTTATCCTCTCTAAACCTCCTTTCATTTATGTGTTTGGCTGTCACTTGGATCCAGAGCCTCTTGAGTTCAGATAGACTTGGGAGTGAGTAGCAAGCGAGGTGCTCCTGTAGGCATGAAAATAAAATTGTGTACAACTAATAGCGCAGACGGTATCTTTCAAGAAATCTTTCCGTAGGAATTGACCGTCCTTTTGTTTGTGTCTCTCCTCGTGCCTCCTCACAGATGGATGGAGGTGATCCGAAGTGCCACCAGCTCCGCCTCGCGCACTCGAGCTCTGAGTCATAAAGAGCCTCACGTCTATTGACGGCTGAACAAGCCGCCGTGTTGATTGTCCGGCAGCTGCTGATTTTCTAGGGGACATTTGAAACTCTTTTCTCCCTCCAAGTTTAGTAAAACTTACTATTTGGTAAAAGAAAAGTAAAAAATAAGTATGGTTTTGCAGAAACTTTCATAATTCCTCAGCAAAGCGGTTTAAGTTCCGTATGTTCAAACTAGCTTACCACCATCCCAGTGGCTGCGGTTCGTTTCATGTCTTGTATTTTGTCATTCTGTGCTGTTTTTAGCTTGTGCCAGTATTAAAATATTGTCCTTATTAGAGTGCCAAAAGCCAAAAGACATTTTATTGCCTCAAAGATTGCACCTAAAAAAAAAAAAAAGACAACTTCACAATCTGGAAACTTTCTCCTCTGAGGCAAACACTATTTCTTCTCTTTTCATAAAAATATATTATTTTTTTTTACCATGTTAATCTAGACTGCTGGATTTTTAAATGTAGATGGACTTTCACAGTATAGAATATAATTATATATACAGCAAGCAGTCTAACAGGAATGAGATGATAACCTTCAGATTTCATTTTTTTTCCCCAGTCTTTCTACATTTAATCAGCAAGGAATTACTAATTTTCTATCTTTAACAAGGAAACAGTTTATGGCTCATTCTCATTTCCCTTTGGGGTTACAAATCCATGTGGTATAAATAAAGTATAGGATTCTTATCTAACCATCTTCCTGGTGCAAGTTGACCAAATTGTTCATCTGTTGGCTTTGAAAAGTGAGTACTACTTGCAAGATGAAAAATTTTTTAAATAATCCAGTGCAATATTATTTGGGCTGTTAATGTACTGTGAATGGTATGTACAAGAAGAAATTAAAGGCTGTGGTGACATTCTGCTGTTTGTTTTACAAACTTGAAAGAAAACCTGTACGCTACGAGAACCACAGCTATTTGTGATGGATTCATTTGTAGAGTGTTTCGGTAACTAGCACGGACTAAATTGCTTGTGAGCTGGGGGTACTACTGACGCCCCAAGTTTTCCATCCTGCCTGCTACACATCCTAGCGTGACTTTCAGTTTGTTGTTGGAATTCCAGTCTCTCCCTCTCTCCCCCAGTGCTCAGTATACAGGCAGCCACAGATACAACCGGCAACGGAAGTACCCACTTCGTAGACCTGGCTGTAACGTTAGCTAACACCGTATTTTGGATGAGCTGTTGGCCCACTCTAAGGTTGGCAGCGCTGTCTGCTATGCTTAGATGCTTTTCCTTACGTATGAAGAAATACTTCACCACGAGGGTGATGTAAAACTTCTGTTAACAGAAGTTCTGCATGCTGGAAATGCATCCATCGCCATTGAGGACCTTTGAGGAGACACAGTGGTAGGCAGAGGGGCCTGAATAGCTCTAGATATGGGAAGTGAAGCTGGGACAACTCTACCCCCCCTTTTTCTGTGTCTAGCTCTTCACTTTGTTAACGGCTTTCCTATGGGCGATGCGTGAAATGGCTAAGAGCTTTGCTTACAACAAAAGGGAATAAAATACCTCACAATACTCTCATACACGTTCCTGTTTCAAGACAGTAAAGCCGCCTTTCTATTTCCCGTCCCCAAAAAGAAACGTACCTCTCGATCTCTGTCTCCTGCCCACTTAGGGCAAGCAGCAAGGCCCCACGGCCACATCCGCGCCACCCTGACAACAGGGAACAAGCATCTCAGCGTTACCTCCCGCAGCCGCGGGGAAACCGTCAGGCCCCTGGGCAGGTAGCTTGTTGCAGTTGCTCTTTTCCTTGGCTATTTCCCCTGAATATCAGTACGGCTATAATAATGACGTCTACCCTATGGCATCGCCTCTGTCCGTCTGTGACATAATGAAGGACAAACTCAGAAAGCAGGTAGAAAAACCTGAAGAACTTTTTCCCAGTTGCAGGTCCCACGGGCTTGTCCATTCCAAGCCTGTGACCCTTCCCTGTGGGGCCAAAGCAAGAGAATTCAACAACTCCGGTGAACCAATAATGTACGGGAACTGCAGCGCTTCAAGACTGACGAGGAATGTGAGCAATGATGTATATAGTGATGAAAAGGGGAAGTAACACAGGCGTAGATTAACAACAACCTCAGCAGCAGCCTACAGGCTTGGAAAAACAAAGCTGAAGAAGCTACAGCAACCAATTTTGCTATGAAGTAAAGAGCTGCAGACCTTATTCCCCCCCAAAATTATTACTGAGCTGTCAAATAGTATCTGCAAAGCCTTACAAGCTAGGTCCCTACAGCTGTCTTTTACGATTGTTATCTGAGATTATTTTTTTAAAAAATAGGAGGGCCATGCCCTTAATTCCGCTAAAATTGAGCTTTATTTTAGATCACTGGGGCTTGTGGGATACAGTCTTCATTACTGCTGTCTGCTGCAGTAGTTTGTTCTGTGTCCTCAAAAGAAAGGCTTTTATTACATTCCTGAAAGCAAGTAACACTTGCTTTACACAAGTAACATTTCTAGGTATGTTTCATTTTCATACAAAGCAAGTTTAGGAAATAATTGTTCTGTAACATCTAAGAAGGCAAAGATCAAGATACAGTGCTATTTATCATGACAGCAGAGACCTAGCTGGGCTGTGGATGCAGCTGCAGAGTATCCACCTGATTCATTCTTCAGCATTTTCACCTTTTTGTATTCTCTTTTTTCCTACAGAAAAGAGGTTTAAAATAAGATTTTTTTCCTTCTTTACCTGTGTGATTTTTAATTATTTTTTTAAATGGTGCTGTCATCTGTCAACATTTTTCTAACCTTATTTCTAAGGTTAACCCAAAACTGAAATCATGGTAAGAGAATAAAAGCGACTGTCTTTACAGTCGTACCTTGCAATCAGTTGAAGTCAATGTGTATGAATAAAACTCATGGTTTACTAGAAAGCTGTAACTAAAGCTATAACTTTACTGTAACTGCTTATTTTTAACCCCGATTCACATCATACTGCTGTCCATCTGATCAAGGGAGGCGTGGGACATGCAGGGTCACTGCATGCCAGGTTAGTAGCCATGACTAAATACCGTTCTCGTGTTTCAGTAGTGGGGAAGAAAAAAACCCTCAAACTGGTCAACCCAAGAGATTTACTCTTCTTCTTCTTACCTGCCATGAATAATCACTTACCGGCTTCAAATAATGAGCAAATAAAAGGAAAACAGGCATTTCATTGCCATAGGAAGTTGGGCCACACGCAATGGGGTCAGCAACACCTGCACTCCTGTGGATTCGCATCTCCACGTCTCTGCTGTCTGTCATTAAGAAGACATGAGTCTTTATTTAATAAATATACTCGGGCCTACCTATTTCCACAACATTTTAATTAACTGCTGTTGAGACCTTGATCCCTTTGCACATTCAGCTGAAACCAGCCAAAAACCAGACAAGTTAGCGGGTAGGGAAACACACGCCATGACTGCAGAAATGCTAATAAAGGTCTCTCGAGTAGAGAAGAGAGATCTCACAAGGAAAACTTGTTTCGGAGACAAAACCAGGGGCACTATCCCACCATCCCATCAGCCAAGAAGAAAACGGGAACAAGCAGGACCTCAAGAGCCTGATTTTGACCGTTTTGCGTTTTTGCACAGGACCGATTGGTCTCCCTCAAAAAACAAGCAAGGAAAAACCACATCCAGCATTAATTGTGGATGTGCAGATAGGCAACTCCAGTTGCTAGAGTGCACAAACAAACATCCCCCCTCTCCCCTGGGGGCACGGGAAAGTTGGTAGGGCAGTGTGGCACACCTACGTATTTTAACAGGAGAAAATAGTAATGACAGGTAATTATGGGAGTGATGTCACACAGCTTGTCACAGTTCTGTGGGTAATTGAAGACGTGATGTTTGGGGTTAAGCTAAGGCAACTTGATGTGAGCGGGACAGGGAATACACAGCAGGTTTTAAACCTTTAAACAGTTGCCATCTGTAAATTTGCACCTTGTCTTACTGTAGGACAAACTGTGATACAGAACTGCACATACTTAACCAAAACAGCACACTGTCAATCACTTGTCTGTGTAAATAAGAAACGCACCTTAATCCAGAAAAGAAGGAACTACACTCCCCCATGGTCAGGTCATCTGTGAGAAGTAAGCTTGCTAAATTCCCCAACAGAAAGAAATACTCTCAACATTCTTGCTCAGAAGGTGGCGGTTGAGTTTAAACAAGAGTTTTCTCTTGTACCAATCCTGAGGTAACAAACTGAACGCCGATTTGTGACCGTTACCGACATGTGGGCAACAACTGAGCTAGAAACCCACGAGAGCATCTCCTCCTGGGAGGAGACACCTGAACCTACTGACCACTCAGATGGCAAAATTTCATTGAAATTTTCCTTCTTTATTTCTAGGTCATGTAGTTTACAAGGAGTTTTGTTATGTTGGTGTAGAGTGACAAAAGTAAAATTTAAATACAGGGTTATGAGCAGGCACCAGTACTACAGAAAACAAGAGATAGTTAACGCTTTAATTGTCCTCTGTAATCATGCTTTAAAAGGCAGCAGAAAACCATTACATACAATTTGTCTACTGTATATGCTCAGTGCAATCACTAGCACATCTGCAAAATCTAGTTAAAAAGAGCAAGCTTGCAGATTTGTGCTATACTTTAAGCTCCTACCCAGCAACTTACAAAAATAATTTGCGGTTACCCTGATCCTGGCATTATACCTATGCTTATCAGCACCTCCCATAATCTCCCAATGGTGACATTTTTGAAGGCAAAAACATGTTTCGTTAAAGGGAATGCTAATGTAAAACCACCACAACCTGGTACCAGGTCCTTTAAAAAAAATAATGTGGAACGCCAACATAAACTTAAGAGCTAAACGAGACATTTCATGAGTATATCCAAAACAGAGGCAGATGGAGGAGTTGCGGCGGATAAAGCAGGGTGTGAGCTCACAACACGCCAGCGGCTTTGCAGTTCAGCGCCAAAAGAGCACACTCGGACCTTCCCCCTCCAGCCAGCCCTGCTGCGCGGTGAGGGCAGACCGCCACAGCTACATCATTCCATGGGAAGAACTGGTTCATCTGTCCGCACCTACCAGGCCGCATGCGAGACGTTGGGCGCTGCAAAGGAACGGCGGCACTTTGGAGAAAGTGCTGCTGCATTATTACACCAAAAGGATTCTCTACTGCAGCGATCATGCCCTCATCCTTCAGTAAACTGGTGATGAACTATGAAGTGCAACCGCAAGGAAAATGAAGTTAAAAAAATAATTACACATCTGATACTTACTTACAAAAAGCAAGCCTACCGTTCAAATGACGGATTTTATTCTTCCTAAACAGTGAGTTTATTTACTGCCTGATCTTGAAATCCCTGACAAATAAGCAGTTCCACTAGTTTAATGTTTGCGTAAGTAGGGATAGTTTGTAGCTTAGTATATTCAAGGCTGAGTGAAGAAGTACTGCCTGCTCAGAAAGTTCATCAGTGCAACATTATAACACAGAAATGGTTTTAGCATGAAACAACCTCTCAAAAATAATGTCTTCTTTTTCTTTCAGAAACTGAGGCCATGCTTCTTTCAAACGAAGCTCTTCTGTTACCAGTATAGATCTGATTTTTAAAGCATCAATACTTTTCAACAGCAAATGATTGTAATTTTACATTCAAGATACAGCACGCTTTTTTTCAGTGAATCTCAGTTTAAGATAGTCTATATTTAAATAATCTATACATTACATATAAAAATACACATCTCTACCAGAAATGAGGTCTTGTCTTTTTCTAAACATCCTAGCCTTTTGGCCAATTGCCCTTGCTGTAGGCCTTGCTCGTCTTAAGCTCCTAAACCAAGGGACACATTCACCAAGCAAATTCTGCCACAATCTACTCAGCGAAGTATTTCCTCAACGTACAGTCCTGGAACA